GGCTCGTAGACGCTAGTTTTGTTATCATGTTATTTAATATATAACGAGCCTAATTCCTTTCGATTTAGAAAATACATAGTTATTTTAAAAAAAAAATATGTAATTTGCAATTAACAATTACATATTTTTTCATACATATTTACATATTTTTTTCTTAAAAATAATTCCTCTAATTATTTTGTACATAAAAGTATTAAGATAAGATAATTGAAAAATGAATATTTTACAAGATATTTTATGGATAGATATTTTATGGAAGATATTTTATTTTATTTAAAATTAAGAAATAATTTCAAGCCTCATAACTCGAAAAGTACTTAATGAAAAAACATTTAATTATAGTGTTTTAGAAAGCTTTTGAGGCAAGCTACAAGAATATGCAAAAGTATATAAGATGTCTCATTTAAAAAGTGGGAAAAGTTGAAGGTGATCTTCAAGTGACTCTTCAAGGTCAAACTAATGGCACCATCTTATGTTCCCCTTGAAGCCATACAACTTTTGTCTGAAACATTTTTCGAATTTTCATTATTTTCCAAAATATTTGCCTGGGGAAATTAAAATGACACCCTGTATATATATTAGATTTATAATTAAGTTCCGTTCTTTACTTGAAAAATGCATTTACTTCAAAGAAAATGAATTAATATCTTCATCAAAATACAATCCATTGTTTTCTATGACTTTTTCCCATCTTTTTTGCAAAAGTTGGATTCCGCGATGATAGAACGACTTGTTTTTTTGAAGCAATCTACTGATCGACCCATTTTTGGACTTCTTTTGTAATCGGAGAAGTATGTATCGGCGAGCGCGTGTTGCATTGATCGGAAAAGGTGATAATCCGATGGGGCCAAATCTGGAGAATAACCTGGATGCGGGTGAACTTCGCATTCGAGCTCCGATAGTGTTTCTTTTACGATTCTTGCAACATGATGTCGCGCGTTGTCATGCATAAGAATCATTTTATGTCGATTACTTTTTCACATCAATTTATCATTTAATCGGTATAATTGTTGTTAGTAGCGGTCAGCCGTGACTGTTTCAGGAATCAATCGATGAGCTTCACCTGCAGTTTTATTTAAATCAAAGTAGTGAAGAAGTACATGTCGAAAAAACAACTTATCATGTTCCATTTTAAATCGATTAAAAAAATATCTCTTTCATAAAAAATGAATTATTGCGCACTTAATTTTAATGACAAATGTGTCCTTGACCTGACCTTAGCGATGCCATCCAAAGTCAAACCAATGACACCATTTTATGTTCCTCTCAAAACCATACAATTTTTGTCGAAAACGTTTTTCTCTAAAATGCTTAGTTTTTGACAGAAAAGGATATACGGGTGGTCTAGGACACCCTGTACAGGGTGTCAGGGAAATTTTGACAGTCACGAAGTAAAGAAGTAGAGTGACTTAAATTAAGAAGGAAGGACCTCTAATGTTTTGTGATATTCGCAATAATTAACAAAAAATTAAATAAAAAAGATCGGCCAATCTGCGTAAGTAGAAGCGCGCGGCGACGAGAGTCGTCCCACTGTAATCTTATACTAGACGCACAGCGGTGAGCGGATCACTCTCTGAGATGTGATGGTGGCATGCGATACATCGGAATACCGCGCCGAAAAATGAGATCCGTCCTTCCGTAACGAGAAAATGATGCGCTATCATTTCCACACCACCTTGCGGTAGATAGCATGGTGCGCTTTTTTATAGTGGTTTCCCCAATAGGCCTATTCCATTCTCAATTTAATGCAAAAATTGTTCAAAATGCCGTTCTCCTTCTCGTATGCAGAGTTCGGCCCTTCAAACAATATCGCGAGTTTCACGGTGCGCCATATCATAATGATACCGAAGGCCGCAACAATAGCTTCACGTACTTCATTTTCTGTACCTTGACGCCGATCTTCGACTAGTCTTTTTATATGGCCCCATACAAAAAGTCTACATTGAGATCTGGCGACTGTGCTGACTAGGTGATTGGATCATTACGACCCATCCACCTGTCCGGAAAACGCGCGTTTAATATCTCGCGAATTTCTCGGCAAAAGTGCGCAGGAGCTCTATCGTACTGATAAATCATCCGCGTTCGCACGTGAAATGCTACATTTTCAAGAAGCTCTACTAACGTATTTTGTAAATAATCCGCATAAATTTCGCCATTTAAACGCGGCGGAAGAAAATAGGGACCAATCTGAAAATTTTAAACGAAAATTGTTAGCCGCATTGAAGCCGCAATAAAAGAAAAATTGCTTTAATTTTATAGTTTACACTTACTATTTGATTCCCGATTATTTCAGCCCATACGTTTATGGACCAGCGAAATTGGAACGCGCCTTGGCGAACGAGATGAGGATTTTCCTCTGCCCAATGTAAATAATTACGTGAATTAAATACATCATTTGGAATGAAAGTAGATTCATCGGTCCATAGAATAATGTCCGGGAAAGATAAATCCCGTCGACATTGCACGAGAAATTCTGCGTATGATTTATCGAGAGTTGCTGTACGCTGTATGTACCGTAAATGTAAAAAATTGATCATGACAGTACCTTCACAAAAATTGATCCGTGGTTGAAAATCCCTCGGTAAAATGTGTTGCACGTTGATAATGATACGAGTGTAATTCATTCACACGTAAAACTTGTTGTACCACGTATCGCGAAAAACCAAATTCGTGTGCTACACAACGCACGCTAGTTCCAGAATTTTCATAAAATGCTTCGAGAATCCTTTCTTCATCTCGTACATAAAGACGCATTCCTGAACCGGTTAATCCGACATTATGCACGAGACACCCAGTTTCACGTAATTGCTGCCGCTCAGCTGTAGTTGCGTGCTGTTGGTGTATGCTCTCTGGCAACAGCCTGCGAGAGCTAAAACGTTTTAGTAAAAATCTTGTGTTCGCGTAATAAAGTACCAGTGAAAATAAAGTATACTCCGCAGGAATATACGAATATGATTGTGAACATACGGACTAGCGGGAGAAAATACTTATCGTGTGGCCGCAATTTACGTGTTATGCAATAATTATGTGAAACTGGGTGTCATAATATCGGGATAACCGGTCCAGCAGCAAGTGCGTCTTCGTGTACGAGATGAAGAAAGGATTCTTGAAGCATTTTATGAAAATCGTGGAACTAGCATGCGTCGTGTGGCACACGAATTTGGTTTTTCGCGATACGCGGTACATCACGCTTTACGTGTAACGGATTACGCCCGTATCATAACCAACATATGCAATACATTTTATCGAGGGATTTTCAACTACAGATCAATATTTGTAAAGGTACTGTCACCATCAGTTTTTTATATTTACGATACATTCAACGTATAGTAACGGCATTTTGAACAATTTTCGAATTGAGAGTGGAACTTATTGGGGAAACCACTATCTATCTACCGCAAGTTGGTGCAAAAATGAGCGCATCATTTTCTCGCCACTAAAAGGACGAGTCATTTTCGGCACGGTATTGCGATATATCGCACGCTATCATCATGTCGGAGAGTGATCCGCCCACCGCTTCGCCGCGCGCCAAGTAGATAAGATTACAGTGGGATGACTTTCATCGCCGCGCGCTTCTACTAACGCAGATTGACCGATCTTCGTTATTTAATTTTTTGTTAATTATTATATCACAAAACAGAGATTCTTGCTTCTTAATTCCAATCTACCTGTTTACTTCGTGACCGTCAAAATTTCTTTAACACCCTGTATATAAAATTTTTAGAAAATTCTTACATCTATCCATCTAATTCTGAGGGGCGGGAACTTGTTAGTTGTACTCCTAATATATATAAAATTTTTAGAAAATTCTTATATCTATCAATTGAAACTTATATTGGACGCGTACCAAATAATTTCATCATTTTATCAATGAAAAATATCGGTATACATATACATATACAGAATGATTCAAAATAACCCCTGTGTCCGTGAAATGACACATTGTTGAGTCAATTCTAAGACGATTTTTTCTTTTGCAAAATTTCGTCCGAAGCTTAGTTTTCGAATTATTAAAGAAAGTAGTTAACGTATGACGAGTCGGATACAAGAGGTAGGCAAGGGAGACGCGATTTACCGTCAGACGCGGGCGGTTACGCGGGACGCCTGCTGCGATCAGCTGGTCGCTATACACATACAGACACACATGCGAACACATACATTCTCTCTCTGTCTGCTGTCTGTCTGTCTGTCTGTCTGTCTCTCTCTCTCTCTCTCTCTCTCTCTCTCTCTCTCTCTCTCTCTCTCTCTCTCTCTCTCTCTCTCTCTCTCTCTCTCTCTCTCTATCTATCTCACTCTCTGCCTTTCTGAGAAGACGTGTGTCACACCGTCGAAATACTAAGTTTTCACCGGTAAATAGTGAGACAAGACGTAAAACAAGTTGTTTAAATTACGCAGCTATAGACCGGAGATAGCTATGAAAGTTATCTAGCCGGGATATGGCGATATGTCAAGGTGAGTAGTGAATTTATTGTTCGGGACATCGAAGTCTCGAAAGACAGGGAGACATTATACGTGGACACAATAGTGCTGACGTGTGAAAGTGGATCACAGGTGACTGATCGCATTAGGCTGATATTAACGGATTCGACCGGCAATTATCGGCATGGACGATGAATATGCAGAGTATCGATGCTCGGCATGTAGGAAGGCAATAAAGAGCAAAGTAGTTACATAAATGTAAAACTTGCTCAAAGCTTTTCTACCATCCGGGATGTATTAGTAAGCACAAAATTCTCGACGGGAACCAAGAATACGTGCCGTGTAAAGGCCCATTCGAAGAGTTTCAGGTTGAGAGTGAGAAAGATACAAACATGAAGAAAACGCTGACAACGTCAGGAAGAGATAGGACATCATCTACAGGATCTGTAGGATCTGCAGGTTCGTTCATAACACCGAGCAATGGAAGTAAAGGATTAGCCATTGATGTAAAAGTAGACTGGATCATAAAGACTGTAAAAGAAATAAAAAATGTAACAACTTGTAAAAATGAAATTAAACTAATGATTCAAGAAGTAGTGCAAAAAGAATTAGGAAATGTTAAACAAGAACTGGAAAACCTGAGGAAGGTGATACAGGGAGTAGCATGTGGAGCAAAGAAAGGATCGCTAAGAAGCTATAGTGAAGCGGTTAAAGAGAAGAAAAAAGAAAATGTCATAATTGTTAAGCCGAAAATGCAACAAGAGAGTGAAACCACTAAAAAGTTAATAAAAAAGAAGGTGGACATTAAGAATATGGCTATGGGAATAACGAAACTAAGAAAAGGAAGCAAGGGAACAGTGATTGTGGGTTGTGAAGCTGGAGAGGAGGTGAAAAAACTGAAAGAGACAGTCCAAGCTAAGCTGGGAAAAAATTACAAAGTGATGGAGTCGCCTCAATCGAAACCAAAGATAAAAATTATTAACATAGGTTTAGAAGAGATGAACTTAGATGATAGTAAACTTATAAGTACGATAAAGATACAGAATAAAATAGATACAGTAAATATGCGAATTGTGAAGAGAATAGTCAAAGAAAAGAGAAATAGGCAATCTGAAAGAAAAGGAAATGAAGAAGGATCAATAATAATGGAAGCAGATGAAGAGACGCACGGGCTGATATTGAAGAAAACAAAATTAAATGTAGGATGGAAGAAATGTCCTGTATTTGATCATATCAGCGTTAAAAGATGCTTTAAATGCTGGGGATATTATCATATCGCAAAAAACTGTACGCGAGAGGAAACATGCCATATATGCGCAGGAAGTCATAACTCGCGTGATTGTACAGCGACAAAGAAGAAATGTGTGAATTGTGTGTTCAAAAATCGAACATACAATCTGAAGATAAATGACGACCATGACGCTCTTAGTCCGGAGTGTCCGACTTTTAAGAGGGCGCTACAGGAGGAGAAGAGGAGAACAGGCTGGGAGGACGCTAAATAGCAACCACAGGAAGAAGCGGAGCTAATACTATATACAAATGCGCAAAACTTAATGGCACACAAAGATGAGATACAACATCAGATTATGACGAAAACAAATCCTATGTTCTTAGCATTATCGGAAACCAGACTGATTGATGATATCGAAGACAGTGAAGTCCCGGGTTATAGTATAGTTAGATGTAATGCTGAGAATAGAAATACGGGAAGAGTTGTTCTATATGTAAGAAGCGAAATTAAATACGAGATAGTATTAGTAAAAAAATTAGAATTGAATTGTTGGTGTGCTGCGATAGAAGTGAAAGATAAAGTATATAAAGGAGTGATAATGGTAATATATCACTCACCGAGTGCATCGCACGGGGATTTCATGAAATTCTTTGAGGAAATAGTGGAGGAGTTGGTAGTGAAGGGAGAATGCATAGTTATAAGAGATTTTAATATAGATCTTATGATGGATTCGTTTTATGCGAAGAAATTGCAAGCAACAATGTTAAGCTTGGGTATGAAACAGTATGTTAACGAACCGACGAGAATTACGAAAGACAGTCAGACAATTATAGATTTAATCTTCGCTAATAATGATAAAATAGTACAAGTAATTCATGAACCTAAAATAACGGATCACGCGTGGCTGAAAGTTGAGATGAATGTTAGCAAAATTGAAAGTAAATATAGAAAATTTATTGCTAAAAATTATAAACAGTTTGATGTAAATGAATTTGCTATATTAGTGAAAAATAAACTACAGAAAAGTCAGGGATGTCAATGTGAATGTATGGATGTCAGTGAGAGAGCGAAACAACTTATCGATAGTATAGTGGATGCGTTAGATGTAATGGCACCGAAGAAAAAATATAGAATTCCGAAAGTATGGGAAGGGAAAAAGTGGTTTTCAGATGACATAAGAGAGGCTGCGGATAGAAGAGATAAGGCTTATAGAAGAGCACTGTATGATGATATTGAACAAAATTGGTTGCAGTATAAAATTGAAAGAAATAAAGTAATAAAATTAATCAGGGAGAAGAAGAAAGATTACTATGAAAATATGATAGATCTTAATAGAGAAAACCCTACATCTATGTGCAAAACATTGAAGGAAATAATTAGGGGTGAACCAGTAGGTATAAAAGAAGTAGGAAATATAGATTTTGAAATCTTAGGCGACACCGAAGAATGCAATATAGCCGATAAATTTAATTTATATTATATACAAAGTATTAATAACATAGTAAACTCTATGAAGATCGATAAATCCGGTGATGATATAATTGATCATTAGATGAATGTAAATAAGAAAATATTTATATTATCAATTATTATTTATATTATCAAAAACAAAAGAATTATAATATAAATAAGAAAATATTATATTATCAATAATTATTTATATTATCAAAAACAAAAGAATTATAGAAAACTTTGAGACTGTTAAACTAGAACAGCTAGAAAAAGTTGTTATGGGATTGCCAAAAAAGAAAGGTACGGAAGAAGGGATAACCAGCGATATATTGAAGGCAGTTTTTTCGGTAATAAAAGAGGAAGTTGCGAATAAATAATAAATAATTCTTTAAGAGAAGGTTTGTGTCCGAAAGGATAGAAAACCTCGACGATAATACCAATCCCAAAGATAGATAAAGCGGAAAAAGCGAGTGATTATAGGCCTATTAATATGTTACCAATATTTGAGAAAGTGTTAGAATTAGTAGTTAAAGAACAACTTGAAATGTACTTGGAAACTAACGATATTATAACAGAACATCAGTCGGGGTTTAAAAAATACTATTCGTGCGAAACAGCGATCCAAACCGTCATTGATGAATGGAAATTGATAGTAAGTGATAGAAAAATGGTAGGAGTAATTTTTATGGACCTTAAGAGAGCGTTTGAAACAATAGATAGAGAAAGATTATTAGAAAAAATGTATTATTATGGAATTAAAGGAATGGCTTTGGAATGGTTCAAATCATATTTAAATAATAGGAAACAGCAAGTGCGAGTCAATCAAGTGTGGTCTGAAATATTGACAAGAGAGTACGGAGTGCCACAAGGTTCGGTACTTGGACCTTTACTATTTATAATATATATAAATGATATAATCAAAGCCTGTCCGGAAGGGTGTAATATTAAGATGTTTGCAGACGACACGCTTATACAGGGTGTTCAAAAAGTCCCGGTACGGGGGAATAACTCGAAAAGTAAGGGTCGGACAAAGAAACTTTTCGGACAAAAGTTGTAGGGCTTACTCCGAGCTTTTATCTCGTGACCTTGAGTTTGACCTTGAGCTTGACCTTCAAGGTTATTTGAAGGTCAAAGTGTTTTTTCTAAATGGTCTAAATGGTTTTTCTAAATGGGTGGAATCAATTGGTGTAAAGAAAACATACAGTTGTTTTTAAGAAAAAATATGTAATTGTTAATTGCAAATTACATATTTTTTCTTCGGAACAATTATGTGTTTTTTTTTAGACCAATTGATTTCTCTCATTATTTTGTACATAAAAGTATTAAGGTAAAATAATCGAAAAGTGAATATTTTACAAGATATTTTACGGTTTATGTAAAATTAAGAAATGATTTGAAGCCTCATAACTCGATAAATGCTTGAGGGAAAAATATTTTATTATAGTGTTTTGGAAAGCTCTCGAGGTCAGCTATAAGAATATACAATCAAAAATAGGAGTTCTCATTTAGAAAAAACACTTTGACCTTCAAATAACCTTGAAGGTCAAGCTCAAGGTCAAACTCAAGGTCACGAGATAAAAGCTCGGAGTAAGTCCTACAACTTTTGTTGGAAAAGTTTCTTTGTCCGACCCTTACTTTTCGAGTTATTCACCCGTACCGGGACTTTTTGAACACCCTGTATATGTAAATGGGAAAGTAGCGCGAATATAGAGGTAAAATTGAATACGGTTTTTAATATAATTGAACGTTGGATGAATATAAATAAGTTAAAAATGAATGTTAGTAAAACGAAATATATGATAGTTAGAAGTACTCGAAAAGAGTTGAAAGGTAATACGGTTTTGAAATGTCTGGATGGAATTGAAATAGAACGAGTGAAAAATATGAAATATCTAGGTATAATTATTTATTGATAACAGACTTCGATTTCAAGATCACTGCGATTATATGCTAAAGAAAATAGGTAAAAAAACAAGTTTCTTAAATAGAATAGGTAATTATATATCAGCCAATACTAGATGCATTATATATAAGACAATCATAGCTCCTCATTTTGAGTATTGCGCGATGCTATTAATAGGCATGGGGGAGACACAAATAACCCAATTGCAGAAGGTACAAAACAGAGCTATGAGGGTAATACTTCAATGCGATAGATACACCAAAGTGGATGACATGCTAGAAGCGTTGCAATTTATGTCAGTAAGACAAAGATTGCAATATAATATATGTATATTTATTTTTAAGATATTAAATGGTTTGCTGCCAACTCAATGAAGGAATAGGTTGCAGATAGTAGGGAAGGAATGTGATAGGGAAACAAGACAAGCGGGTAATATTGAACTGCAGTTTAGGAAAACAAAGTCCGCGCAAAAAAGTTTGTTTTATGAAGGCATAAAAATATATAACGTCCTGCCAGAGGAAGTTAAAAATTGCGATTGGCTAAAATTGTTCAAGAGTAGGCTTAAGGCGCATATTCTCGCAATGTAAAATATGTAAGTTTAAATGTATATGAAAATAGCTGAGAAAGCTAATAAAAGCTCATCAATCTCTCTCTCTCTCTCTCTCTCTCTCTCTCTCTCTCTCTCTCTCTCTCTCTCTCTCTCTCTCTCTCTCTCTCTCTCTCTCTCTCTCTCTCTCTCTCTCATTCGCTCACTCACCTGTATTTTTTTTTTTTTACGAGATGGGAAAATGCATTTTATGCATACCCACTGGTCGATCCAGTGAGTTATGTGAGACTCGAGTACCAAGTCGAATTACCAATTCGGTACTCCCTACCCACTAAAAACCCCTCTCTTTTCACGAATTTTCTTTGACACACTGTCCTTCCCAAGATCCGTTTTCACATAACGTCAAAAAATAGTTATTATTACCTTGTTCGATGACTTCTGATGTATTACTATAATTGCTTGAACGAGAAATGAATTTTCCGATAGATCGTACGTTCTCAAATTTAACGTTGATATCACGTTGCACAAGACAGAAATCCACACTCAATTATTAACTGAAAGTTTTTCTTCTTTCATGAACTGCATTCTTTTATAAACTTTAACATAATCACATTTATTTACTCACTCGACGAGACGAGAAATTTACTAATGACTCTATCACTAATCACTATTAATCACTGTCGAATAATAACTATTGGCGATTAAAAATCACTCGATAAAAGAAACACGCACGGACACATTACTACACGACGCGACAATGCGACGATAATTACTCGGCGACTGCAAGCAGTTTTTTGTCATAGTAGATTGCGGTAGTAATAACATTAATATGTTAAATGTTTATTATGTTTACCGCATTCTTCAATCGAACACATGATCGCGTTCAATAGCGCCAGTAGTACCTTAACTATATATATACATATATATATATATATATATATATATATATATATATATCACATGTTTTACATTACATGTTTATATTAGGTACATACATTGTACATTTCTAGGATGTATACATATACAGTACATGTTTATACATAGTGCATTACACGTTATCAGTATGTACATTACGCGTCAGTTGATTCATTCCCTGAAATGAGGGATGTATATAGAAGTCCTGTTTCTATGTACCCTTCTTATCTCAGGGAATGATGCACATCGTACATACATATACATATCACATACATGTAAAAAATATTCTTGGTATGTACATACATGTACATTATATGTATATAAATAGCACATTCTTGGAATATACGTGTACTATACGTTGATGGAATATACATGCATGTATATACTGCAAATGTGCGCTGCACATTTCTGGAGTGTATTGCATGTACATGTGTTATAGCCTTGCAGACTATAA